ACATCATTTTCTCTGAGATAACAGGATGGATGCAGGCTCACAGGCTTGCCAGTAGGAGCAGAGAACTGAAGCTGCTCTGAGACGGCTTCACCTTCCCAGTGGATTTAAGTAACTCTTCACCTGGTATTTCCTCTCATTCCGTTAGGCTGGGTTTTTGCTGGTTAATAATTTGTGTTGAAAGCTTAACCCTACTAGACACATAAATAAGTCTACAAGGTAGTCAGGAATCAGCTACCAACTTTTCCAATATGGTATTTGGGAGAAACTGTATTTAGGATCAACCTGTGCTGTCCAGAGAAGACTGTGGACAGTCTTGATTAACACCCCCATTCTCTCAGCCTTTCCTTTGGTACATCACTTTCCAATTCAGTGATGCCTGGCAGCTGGTAGATACAGTTGTCTGATGAATGTGGAAGACTTTCTATCTTTGATTTGTCTGAACAACAGACAGCAACTGGGAAGAGGAACAGTGCATGGTAGAGAATTGGTCACATGAAATCTCGCTTCCTCTTGGGCTCATCCTTTCCTGTTGCTTCATTCTTCCCCCAGTTAAGCATAGTTCTCAGTGTTCCAAGCGGCCCTTCACTGCTGTTCTATGGAATTTAGAGCCCCCAAGAAAAGACCAAAAAGCCGGCTAACATTCTTTGTTTTAGCTTTCCTTTTCTTTGTATTTTTATGCCCAGGCTTGGCACAAACTATCTTTTGGCCTCTGCCTCTTGGTGTGAGGATTACAGGCATGTACCACCTCACCCAGCTTCAAGCTCCTAAATCCATTTCACATGCCTTCTGTTCTTAGCACCCACTCTCTGAATACTCAACAAAGCTGCTTAATGTCACGTCAGCATCCATGTTGTATAAGCCTGATCTTCCTGGCTGGTAACAAGGACAGTCCTTTCTTAGGCAGGAAGACAAACCCTTATGTTATATCCAAGGTCATGAACAAAAATGGCAGGTCAGTTACAAACAATGTTGTGTGTGTATATGCTTCTATTCATCCACCAAAAGTGAATAGGATATTTTTCTAACTTTGACATAAAAACAATATTGCGTTTCTCTTGAGAATGCTTCATTCCTATAGAATGAAATAGAGTAGGCTGCATTTTAAAAAGTGAGTGGCTGAAATTTAAGAAATATGTATGGCTTATTTAACTCATTGGAATCCTATTAACATACATGAAGTCAACAATTTCCTTCTGTGTTTTGTCATTGCCACACTGCTTCTTTCTAGTTTTCTTCCATTTCCTATGAATTGTTTTACATATGAAAATAAATTGCCAACTCAGAGATTGCTATGAAAAATAGAAATTCTTTGACTTGAAAAATGAGAGGAAAAGCTATTTGTATTATGAAGCATGAATTACACCCTGGAATGTTTGTGCAAAGAGTTAAAACCAAAGAATTTGCTTTCTTACTCAAATGCAAACATTACCTAGTCATACAAATAGCACCAAACTCACCCAGTCTCTGCCTCTGCAGATCACCCACCAGCATTAGACTACATCATATGACATTACGGAACAATAGTGAACTCTGTATTAGTTGAATATATTGTTTTGAAAGAATAAACTGTCATTAACTTGAATAAAGGCTTACTGAAATAAAACCTGGGGGTTTAGCCTTCACTGGGTGGCCTTTAAAAAAAAAAAAAAAAAAAACTACTTTAAGAAATTGCCTCACCCTGAAAGCAAGGGAGAAAAAAAAAGATTTGGCAGTATAAAGGCAACAGTGACGTGTCTCCTGCAGCTCCTGCAAAGGCCCATCAGGCTGGGGCTAGAGCTTTAAATCACCAGGCAGAACAATGTCAAAGGAGGAGACTCTACTACAAATTGGGCATCTAAAATCCAAACAATCTCTCACTTACACACCCTCTTCCCACGATACCAGTGACTTATAGAACAGGCTCTGCTATGGTGGGAACAAGAATTGCTCTATGGCCAGCATGCCTCAATGCCATAGGCTATTGCTACAGCCAGTGACTTTAGGCTAGGAATTTAAGGTAGATTCCAATGTTTTAATCTATAAATAAAAGAGTTATCATGAGAGAGTACTGAGGGGAGTTGGACACTACTATTATCAGCTGTATTTATTAGTTTACTTAATTTCTGTCAGCCTGTCTTTTCCAATCACCATCCAAGGCGTTTCTTGTTCACAAATGAAACACAAGCATCTGTAAACATTCACTGCTTTTTGTTTGTGCTTGTGGTCTTAGCCCACCCATACATTGCCTTTTCTAATCAAGTGAGCTCTCTATCTGCCTTAGCCAAACCTAGATAAGCACTCAGTCACCTGGCCCTCGCCAGCTTTCCTCTCCACTATAATCTGTTCTCAATGTATTCAGATGGTGGTGAATCCCTGATTACACCCTAGTTAACAAGGTAAACAAGCCCAGGTGTTTCACCTTGCAAGGCATTCACTTGTATCACACTCGTCACTCACATTCAAGGTGGATGACCGCTCTTGCTCTCTGGGTCCTCTCTCTATCAGGGCGCCCCCTCTCTCTTTTCCCCCTCTCTCTTCTCTCCCCCATCATGTCCTGCTCTCCCTGCTCTCCCTTCTCTCTCTCTCTCTCCATATCCACCTAATAAACCTCATATATATATATTTTTTTTTTAAAAAAAAGGTGGATGACCTACGATGACCTAAAACTCATGTTAGCTTCCCATAATACCAAGTCTTCTCCAAGATACTTTCCCTACTAGTCAGTTTATTCTCATGTGAATTATTTCACATGACTGAACAACTGATCTTAGAAAATCATTAAGTACATCTCAAATTCAGTTTTGCCTTTAGTATTTTCCTAAGGAGACTGTGGGGAGCAACAGGATGGAGATAAACAGGAAGAAGGCTCATGAAAAATGACTGTGGGCAGTACTCCATGCAGATCCAGGAAGGGTGGAGTGTAGAAGATCAATATCCAGCTGTTATGTTTCTGAATACTAGGCAAGCATATGTGAAGGGAGAAATTTCATTAGTGTTGGCTTCTTTGGAGAATCACATTATTCCACAAAATAAAGGGAACGAATGAGAAGATGAGGAGGTAGCAATATAATAAGTACTTTTATAGAGCAGAGGGCTTATCAGAGCCTAATCTGACGGCCAGTACAAAGGAGAGTGGAAGTGTGAATGGTCTCATCTGTAAAGTAGATGAATTGCTGGGAAGAACACGAAGACGCATAGATCACCTGGATACACTATTTGTTTTTCTTAGGCACAGCACAGAGTGATGTAACTAGGGTAGGACTTGACATAGGTGAAGAAGTTTCAAGTGCAATCTCTATCTGCCAGATATCTGATCTTGCAGAAATCACTTAAACAAATTGAATGATGTAAGAATTAAAAGAATGGTCTATGTATATATAGGGGGCCAGGGTACATTTTAGTATAACTAGAAGATGTTTTATTACAGTCTATTATGCCAGCTGCTCTTCTCTGGGTGTCTGTCATTTCTATGGTTCATATGAAATCATAGGCTAATGGTATCTGGAGGTGGGGCCTTTGGAAGGTCATCAGGTCATGCAGGTGGAGCTTTGTGATTGCATGAATGTCTTTATTTGAGGAGAAAGAGAGATCAAGTTAGCAGTTTTCTCTGCCTTGTGATGTCATCCTTGTGATGTCATAATGCAGCAGAGAGGCTATCACCAAATACCAAGAGTTTGCCAGTGCCATTTTTTTTTATTTATAAATTTCTCATTCTGTGGTATTGTTATCAAAAAGAAAAAAGAAAAATGAAGACAGATGTAGGTCAAGTTAAACCACAACCTTATTTATGCTTATTATTACTAGGTTTTGTTTTGGATGTTTTTGAGGGGGTGGAGGCAGGGACTCTGAAGAACTTCTATAGCAGAAGCCCCACTCAGTTCATAGAAAACCATCTCCAGGATTAGAGAGACAGCTCAGTTACTAAAGTGCTTGTCATACAGGCATGAGAACCTGAGTTCCAGTCCCAAAACCATATAAAAAAAAATGGAAGTGGTAGCACACACTTATAATTCCAGCATTGGGTATGTGGAGACTGGCAGATACATGAGGCCACCCGGCATAGCCTAACTGGCAAGTCCTATGTCCCAATGAGAGACCATGTTTCAAAAACAAGGTGGATGGCTTCTGAGGACAACACTGAAAGTTGACCTATGGCCTCCAAACATGCACCCATACAACACTCATGCACACACATCCACACAAAAGGTAAAGAAAATAAATTCCACTTGATGGAGATATGAAAACAAGAAAGTTATGGTCTTCACATAAAGTACCTTGAAATATGCTAATCCGATGGGTAATCTCTCCTCTCATAAGCATATTTTTTCTCATGCAAAAGAGTTGCCAGAATTAATTACCAGTGCATTAGTGGTGATAGGACTTTTCAATGAGTCTGAACTAGTCAACCCATGCTGTAGTTCAAATTACAAAAAGTAATGAAAATCTTTTCATGGAAATATAGCAGGGAAGGGCCACCTCCAACCACATCAATTCATTTGCTGATTTACTAGATCTTATTTTATATTAGGTTCTATCTCAAATGTTGGGCTTCAATAGTCAAAAGAAACAGAAAAATAAATAGTAAGCCAACTGGGTTGACAAGATGGCTGAAATGGGAAAAGGCATTCACTGCCAAGCCTGATAATATGAGTGGATCCCCAGCACCCACAAGATGGCAGGAAAGAACCCACTCTCAAAAGTTGCTCTTTGACCTCCATATGCAAGCTGTGACATGCACACATAAACACACACACACACACACACACACACACACACGCACGCACACACGCACTAAAGAGATAAATGTAAAAATGTTTCCTAATTTACAATAGGTCAGTGGTGACTAAATGCTACAGAAAAAAAGGAGGAGGCATAGAAAGAGACTCCAATTTCAGAAGTCAAGGAAGACTATTCAGAGAAGATGCCAATTAAGGAAAGAGCTATAAAAGACAGTAGCGGGCCATATATAAACCTCCCTGACAAGTCTAGATACTACTACAAATAGATACTACTACTATTACCTTTTAAAAGGGGCTGGAAAGTTGGAATCTCTTGAAGCTTGATGACATCAGGATCATTGCTAACATTCCTTGAGGCCTGGGAGCCTTGAGCTACTACCACGATATCATCCATCTTGGCCCGATGTTTAGCTGGAGATGGAGTCACTGCAAATAAAGTTTTACAAATCAGTAATTTCGAACTGGAGAGCCACCACTGCTTACCAACACAGTCACTAGAAAGAGTAGTTCACAGTGAGGGATTTTCTGATCGATCTCAACAAGTGCTTCTCTTCAAAGCCATCCTCATTAGAAACAACAAACTACTTCCCCTGGAGAGTGGTACTGGCTACTTTTTATCTTTGAAATGCTGAGTGAATCAATGTTTTTTTTTTTTCTGTTGTTTTTTGTTTGTTTTGTTTTTAACTAAAAGAAAATGCTGTTGTAGTGGTGCATGTCTTTGATCCCAGCACTCCATAAGCAGACACAGGCAGATCTCTGTGAGTTCAAGGCCAGCCTGGTCTACATCATGAATTCAAGGACAGCCAGAGCTACATAGTGAGATGTCTCAAAAAAAAAAAAAAAAATTTAAAATTAAACAAAAACAAACAAACCAAAAAATAAATAAAACCAAACAAAAGCCAATGTGGGGGACACAACTAAGCTGGACATAAACTGGCCATGGTGGCCCACATCTGTGATCCCAGTACTCAGGAGGTTGAGACAGGAAAATAAAAATCCAAGAACAGGGGCTGGAGATACAATTCACCAGTTAAGGGCACTGGGTGCTCTTCCAGAGACCATGGTTCAATTCCCAGCAACCACATGTTAGTTCAAAACCATTTGTAACTCCAGTTCTAGTCCATCCAATGCCCTCTAAGGCCTTCCAAGGCACTACATACATGTGAAGCACAGACATGGAATGAGGGCAAAACACCTATACACATAATAAATAATTTTTCACTAAAAACTTTAAGGACAACCTTGGAAGCATAGATCTTCAAGCATAGACTGCATGAAGCACTGTTTCAAAGGAAAAAAATACATATTTTTACATAATAAAATGGAGTTATTTTATGTAGTGGGGGGCTTCATAATGTAGTGGGGGCTGGCAAAAAAGATTATAGGAAACTTCTATTTTCTTTCTTTCTTTCTTTCTTTCTTTCTTTCTTTCTTTCTTTCTTTCTTTCTTT